TGAAGATTTTATGATTGAGCCATCGGAAAAAAAAAAATGTGATTTTAGTGAAATTAATATATACAGCGATTTTCGATAGTTATTCTATTTTCAGCATCTTATTAGAAGAGGTACGACTGATATCATTTGTAACGATCTATGTCTAGGATTCATATTTGGATTCGAAACCTCATTAATCTGACATTCCTCTACTTCTACTATGATGATCTTGTTACCTACTTCTGACTTCTTAAGATTGAAGGCTATCTCTACCGAATAATACGAGTCTTTTTTGCATGTTTTAACTTATACAACAGGTTGCGTGTTAAATTCGAAAAGAAGAATGTATTCGAAAAGAAGAATGTACACAAATATTAACCGACTCCAATCTTTTTGTTTTTGTTGGGTTTGTATTTACACTCCCAATGCCTTCACAGTTCCAAATATTATAATTTTGTCCATTATTCACTAAATTAAGAAAAAGAGAGGGATAAATTGGTCCCAAAAACTAACCGGTGTTTTCGGCGCCGGAACAAAATTCACTACGACGGTCCATTCCGACGAACTGATTATTAAAACTCATTGGATTATTCACTGTCCTCACTTCTACACCGCCATCGTCCCCCCACTAATCTCAAACAAAATTCCTCGCTTTGTTTTTTTCTCTTCAGATGAATAAGTTTAAAAGCTTCCTCTCTTTCCGCCGGTCGCCGTCGCTATTATCCGCGCTACCAAAGCTCGTCATCACCGACTCCTCTGAATCGAGAGAGCGTCGATTCTCCAATAGATGGGTCTTTCCCTTGCCGGTGGCAAGACTGAGATCGGAAAGTCGCCGGGAATCGAACGGACTAGAAGGGTAAAATTGAATATTCTGAGTGGTGCTGGTCCAAACATCCGTATTCAAACTGAGAGAGGATTCTGTCTCCGCCGTGGGATTTCCAGAAAATTCGATTCCGAGGTTTGCCCGGGGAACTCCGCCCCTGAGAACCGTCTCCGCCGCCGCCTGACAGACATGCCAATTCCCGCTCGACAACAGCCCAACAGCCCCACTCACCGGGTTGACCGTACGTCCGCAAGCTTCGAATAACAGAGACTGAAACAGAGCTTCAAAAAACCAAGAACAGGGTTATGTAAGAGTTCATTTCGGAAGTACAAATAAAAAATAAAAATTTGTGTCTACCGGATCTCTGATGATGAGGAACGGCGGAGATGAAGGACAAGAGATCACTACGGCCGAAGAATTTAGCAAGAAACAAGGTGGCGTTGCCTTGAGATTCCGGCGAGTCGATCCAATGAAGACTTGACCTTAAAACGCAAGCTTCACTGCATCCCTTTCGAAGCACTCTGCAACCGTTGCAACTCATTCTCCGATTGTTAATAAAATCACACACGATTCTTATAAGGAAGCAAAGGCAATGCTAATGTGGTCGAGAAGAGGCGAGGTGGTGGAGCGTTGGGAAGCGGAGGCAGAGGGCGTTTAAAACAACAGAGAATCTGAAATGGCGTTGGAGTTAGGAAAGTAACTGTGGTTAAGTTTGATGTCAGAGTGTTGACTGTGGACTTTTTTGTAACATATGTGGGCCCCGTGGTCCCCACATACATTCGGGAATTATCTTCCAAACTCTGAGCGTGAGAGCGGCTCCGTGTTTCCGCGACCCCCTCTTCCCCCTTCCTTTGCTTCTCCAAATTAATCTCAACCCTCGGATCCTCCACCTCAACCATTCATAAATTCATTTATATATTAAACTAATTTTATTCATTTCAAAATGTTGAATATTTAGATTCTAAAATACTATATTTAACACCTCATTTAATTCTTAAAAAAATGAATTATTAATATATGAAATAATCTTTAAAATTTAATTCATTGAACCCAAAATTAAAAATTTATAAATGCATTCAAGAATCTTAAAGAGAACATATTTTAAACGATTAAAGCAACAAACATTAGTATAATTATACTATACTAATGCAGCCCACCCTTATTCAATAAAATCTTCATATTTATATAATTATAGTATTAAATAAAAATAAAATAAATGCAACTGTCGACGTGAATCTCACGATTTTAAAGCGTATCTGCAAGGAAAAAGTTTTCTCATCTTTATAATAAATGTTTTATTTTTCTCTGGAATCCGTCAATAGGACTGTGACATATAGTCTTAACTAAAAAGTCCTAAGCTACCGATTATTAAAAAATTATTATTTAAAAGTGTCACTCAATGGGTTGAAGGAGCAAATTTGTCTTCCAACTTTTTTGTTTTTTAATGACAAAAAAAAAAACCATAAACAGGGAACCGAGGGAGCCGGTTGCGGTCAGAACAATTAATTTATAGGAAATATTAAAGTATTATGTGTTCTAGTTTGCTGGAGTTTATTGCAAATGGGTCACACTGTTCATATATATTATCTACAAACCTGAGCTTTATCCAATGTTTCCAAGAAGAGAAGCATAAGAAGGATAAGTGGGGTTGGAAAATTATGAAGAATTATGTAGAAAAATGGCGGTAATATATCGCTCTTCGGAAACCATTGATGTCTACGTCTACAAATCCTCAATCATCTACTATTTCAACCCATATAATGAATTAAAAAGCTTGACTGTTACAAATGATATGAGAGCCGGACACCAGACATGGTGCCAGATATGATATTAGACCTCCAAGCGATTGAATGTGTACTCGTTGGGTGCACAACAAATGATTAAACAAGACAGCGTTGCCTAATTATGTTGCTGCATATTCCATCAGTTTGGCGTTTCTTACTAAACTTGGGTGTCGCTGGGTACCACATCTTTGGATCATTTGGGTTTCACTCACCTTTTATGCCCAAAATATGAACTCATTGTTTGGGCCCAAACTTTGGAACACAATTTACGTTGTGTTTCTTGTTTATAATCTATAACAAAATTTTCTTGCAATCTTGTTTCAAACTCTCACTCTTGAAAATCTCTCCTCCATCGTAGCTTCAGCTTACCTTGCCTGCAATTTCAAATTGGCTGACTCACTCGGTGTTGAAAATGATTGTGTCACAATTGCTAGTCCGCTGCCAAAAATTAAAAAAGCGAGTTTATTTCTTCATAATTATTAGTTATCGAATTTGGTTTCCAAGTTAAGTAATTAAGATATGCATGTTTAGGTTTCCTTTTTTTCTTGTTGTCCACTATAATTACTATAGAATTGAAGACTTTATAATAGATGCCTTAATCACATAGCTATGTACTCATATTCTTGGCTTGTAATACACACGTTAATAGTATATAATGAAGGATAATGGTATCAAAATATAAAAATAAGGGGATGCTTTGGCATGTTAGCCATGTGGAAAGTGGGTGATTACATCTATTATGAGTTGTAGAAACCCCCTTTGTATGCCTTTTCAATTCAATCAAACACCTGATATTGACAAACCCTCAGCCACACTTCCGCCTCCTCCCTAGTGGCCGGCGGTGGCTCGTCGTCATTCATTACCTCATCAGCCACTTGAATGGCCTAGTGGTCGGCCGACCCCATTTTAAAATCCATTTGCGCCCACACCAACATTTCTAAATTCCCACCGGTGGCGACCCTCAAACCACTTAAAAGACTCACTCGATCATCAATACTTGACTTTTTCTCGTCTATATTTCGTGTAAATGTAAACACTTCAAGATTGGGTCAAAGCATTCAAGCTCAACGCCCCACACGCTAAGCCTACTTTTCAAAGCTTCAACTTTCACACACAATCTGACAAAGTCAGTCCTTGTGCGCTTCCCGTTCTTCACCGCGCACGCATTTGGTGTCAAAATCAACACCATTTAGCTGCCTTTATGGCGCAACTGATGGGATCGAGAATATTCCGGACGCGGTGGTGGCTTTGCTTGGAAATGGGTTAGCACCGGATGAGATCGCTCCTCGGTGGAAAATTATAAAATACGTTATGGGTTCCTTCCTTTACTTGGAAACGTGGCAAAATCAGAATTTGCCAGCCCAACCGAATTACATTTAAGACGCCTAATAAAGCTGCGCGTTGGGGTTACCCATTTGGACAAAAATCCAAACACAACTTCAAGCACTAATTGAACGGCCTTAGCGTTGTCCCTCTTGCTAAACCCAACTCTACCCTCACTCCATCACCCATCCATTGCTTCCAAATGAGTACTTCTATCGTGATGTGACTGAGAAGTAAGATAGAAGTTGTAAGATCCCAGTCAGCTAGAGAGGAGAACAACACATTCTTTATAAGAGTGTGGAAACATCTTCTCTCTCGACCCTGAAAACCCAAAAAGGACAATATTTACTAGCGGTGGACTTGAGTTGTCACACTTGATAGAGGTATATTTCTAATTTTCTCACTTGATAGAGGTATATGGGCCCCGAGCTGGATTGTGTCTGTGTATAACTTTTCGTCATTGATGAATCAAATGTCTTAAAATGTACTACAAGAGAGACGTGATATTTGGTTCTACAATACATATGGGTCTTACTAGACGTGATATTTGGTTCTACAATACATATGGGTCTTACTAGCTAGTGAGCCACCTTATGCACATGTGTATGTCATGGCATATGCAAGCATTGCATCTTCCTTGGAGAATGAGATTCTAAGAACACGGTCGAAAAGCATGGGTGCACCAACATCACTCCCTTTCCACGAGTTGCTGCGTTATAAGATTGGGAACAGTCTCAATAGTATGAATCGATGGATGTCTAAGATGCTTGGAATATAAAATTAACTCGTGGTCAATTCTTAATCGATAAGTACATCCAAGCTAAGCAAGCTTTGAAGGTGGATGAGATTGCTATGCTCATGGTGGCATCACGAAGTAGTTTCTAGTCGGCTCGGTACTTGGTTGAGTTGTTCCTTTTAAGTTTTGACCATTAGACGATGCCCCCACATCACCTGTCGCCAACGCCCCATCTTCATACATTCATGATGCCGATTCCTTGCGTGCTTTGAATTTGGATGCTTTATTGTTACTATTACCATTATTTAACGTCAATGCCATTAATTTATCGTTTATGAATTAGTAAACGAATATGAAAAAAATAATCAATTGAATTAGTTCTCAGAGATTGGCTACAGGTACAAATAGTGGGCAGAGGAGTAGAACAAACTTCCTATTTTCTATTTACACACAAAACAAATCATCAACTAAACAAACAAATCGAAACAATTTCTGCTTTTCTTTTCCCCTAGGATTATGTCTGAGTGATTTCGATTTTGGGAATTGTTAAGATTCGAGGCTTCTTCAGGGGTAATGGGCTTTGGACCTCCTCGTCGCCGGAAGAGTTGAAGAATCCCGGAGATAGCTCCGGCAAGGCGGGGAGGTTGAGGTCGAAGTCCCGGTGGCTGTGGCTCTGTGTGTGGGTCGACCCAACTCCTTCCGAAGATGTCAAGGCGTGGTTGTTGCTGTTGGTGTTGTGACTGTGTGTTTGGTTGTGGTTGTTGTTGTTGTTGTTGCCAATTCCGCCGTCGTAGTGGCAACGCTTGTGGCCACCCAAGGCCTGACCGGTGGGAAAAGACTTATGGCAAATAGAGCACTCGTGGGATTTACCCCCACCGACGGCGGTGGTAGCGGTGGCGGAAGTGGTTATGGTGGAGGAAGTGGAGTGGTCTTCCCCTGTAGCTGATTTTCTATGACTCGCTTTATGTCCACCCAAAGCCTGGTAAGACGAAAACGCCTTGTCGCAAACAGAGCACTTGTAGCTAAGTTTAACAACGGATATGGGCTGAGCCGGAATCGGAATTTCATAGGCAAGTCGGTGGTCAGGGTCAGAGGCGGTGGCACCGCCTCGAGCAAGCATGATAAGACATAACGCTAAATACTCCTCCTCGGTTGGAGGGTTGTCGAATCCCCGCGGACGCTTGGTCCTCTTCCTCTTAGACCAAGACTCCAACGAATTGTGACTCGGGTCGTCGTAGTGCAGCGCCGGCGATGGAGTGGTGGGAGAATTCAGAGCTTCAAGAGCCATTAGAGACAGAGATAGAAGAAATTCAGAGAATTAAACAGCACCTGAAAAGAAAGAAGAAGAGAGATAGCAAAGTTTTTGATGTGGGGAATTGGTTGAAAGTGGTTTGGAGTGATAAGAGTAAGAGAAGAAGATGATGGGTTTATAAAGAAGGATAAAGAGGAAGAGGAAGGAAGTTGCGTGACAAGTGGTGAGAATGTAATAAAAGATGGCCAAGAAGAATATAAATTTGTAGACATCACTGGTTTCGTTGGTGGCCAAGGAAGACCCAGTTGGGTCAAACTCCAAACTAGAATAAAAGAAAAAAAAAGACTTTGGAAGGTTGCAAGTGAGTGAGTGAGATACTTTTACACTTCAACTACAGTACCATTCCACCTTCCATATTGTCCAAACCCTCTAACCCGGTTCAGGGGCTCCCCTTTAAAACCCGCAAGTAAAGATCCCACGTCCATTGGAAAGAAAAATAAGATCATAATGGGAGTGAGAGTGCGATTGCTTAATGAAGTGGGAAATGTGAATATGAAAACGAGTGGAAGGCAGGCAAGCGTCGTGGGGTTATGTGGCGGCTGTGGCGCTGTTGTGTTCTGTTTGAGGATTTGGTCTAATTTTAGCCAAATCTGTACAAGTGGATAAGGAGTGGTTCCTTTAAAAAATTGACGATAATTATCCATTGTCAAAGGCATCAAATTAAAATAAAGCAATTATCTAATACCATGCCCTGCACATCGGAATAAATTGCGGGGAGGGGGGAGTTCACTTGCTTTTAAAACCTCTACAATTTGACTACTACAACTCCCTTCTTCCACTGCCCTTAAAACGCTGCCATTGGTAAAACACTCACCGCCTCCATTCACACCGCACCCTCACGTTCCCAGAAATTCCCCTTATTTCCTCTCTCTTTTGCTTCCTTTGACTGTAAAATGGGGAGAAGAAGCAGCCTCTGTGGAATTAAGAACTAGAAATATAAATATTCCAAGTAGGAGGGGTTGGTGACGTAGCTGAATGGGGTCCATATTGGTGAGTCGGAATAAAGATTTACACGTGTTATCCTAATGCTTGGCTGCTGTCATTGCTTACTCATCATCATCACTCCATTCTTATCCCCAACAAATATAATAAGCATCACCGGTTTTTTTCTCCCCCAAACTAATTTAACCAATCCAGTGGCCTTGTTTCTGTGTGTTCTTTGGGTGATATTTGACAAAAGCATGACAGTTCCAGTCCCACATCGGCTAGCTTATGCCAATTCGACCAAATTAAAATCGTGGGAATACTGATGGAGGCTGTAAAGTGCTGGATGCGCTGCGGCCGCCGCAGCTACATGCGATGTACATTTGTCTCTTCAACTTTTCAATTCCACAACACGTGGGTTTTCTTCTATCTGATTTCTTAACCAACTTTCCAAATTCTGAGATTTTTTAATTTTACACGCAATTAATCAATGAACTCCCAATAAAAAAATAACAACACTTCAATTCATCACAATTTGAATTTCGCATTCATACGCAAAACTATTATTTCATGTTTAGATTTTGACTCATTTAATTGATGTCTAGGGTTGTTTTAAATTTTATAAATGAAGTGTTTGGTTATATAATTGTGTTAATGTATTTTGGTATTTTAATATATACGCATGTTTTTAACATTCACATTCTATATTATTAACAATGGTACAATAATTAAATTAAATTAAAGGGGCGATAATTATGATTGGACCTTATAAAATATCATTAAGAAAAATAAAAAAAATAAGGGCTTGTATTATATGACATTATTCAACGAAGAAGGATTACATTACATTTGGGTCCTCTCCATTATTTTACAAACCAATTAAATCGCCCACGTGTTAATTAATTACCATGTTGCTATTTTCCTTTCACTAGATGAATTTTTAATAATAATAATATATAGGTTGGGTCATGACACGTGTTGAACCTTAAGCCATCACAAAGTCGTGCATCAAATAAGGAATATTATTATATTGGGATTTATGGTTGGAAATTGGAAGATATTAAAGGTTGCCGACATTTAAGGGTGGTGGGCTTAGGACGCACAGGTTCGAATTGTACAGCGTGTAAGAATTTCTTTGTTTTTATTTGTATCATAAACTAGCCCTAGCATATAGACACAAAACGCGTTTGAAGGCGTTCTTGTATGGAAAAATTCTACTTCAAAATAAGTTTGTACTCGTCTCGGAGTTTGCTCATACAACTTTTGAAACTCACGAAAAGGGTAATACTGAGAAGGTCTATGAAAGAGAATAACTTAATCAATGGAGTATTTTTTTTATTGTTTCATTTGGTAAACATTTTCACAAAAATGACTTTTTTTAATCTTTTAATTTTGTTTAGGACAACAATAACTTAATTAAATAAAAAATGAGTAGAAATAAAAATAGAAAAATGAAATAAGTTTTTGATGAGAATGGTCGGTGAGTAAAAGGCGAAGTGGGCAACAATGAACGAAGCACTTGAATTCCTACCCTAACTGTCATCAAAAGTATCTGAAGGCCGCGCGCGCTTCTTTCATTTTTCGCAGTGGGCCATGGCTTCGGCGGAGCAGCCTCTCAAGAAGCGCCGGAACTACGTACCACCCGCATCAGAGCCACCGCCACCGCTACCGCAAACCCTAGCGCTGGACCAGACATCCGTCGCTCCACCGCCTCCTACTCCACCGCTGCTGTCCCAAGCCGAAATCCTCCTCAGGAGAAGGAACAGAGATGATATTAGAAGTGTCTATGACTGTTTTAAGCGAATTAGGTTTTTTCTTTCCCAGAAAGAGAAGGGCGCTCCCACACCTGATATTGAGCAGGCATATCTTTCTCTCATCACTGCTTCGAGAGGTCAGTGTTTGATTCTCTTCCTCCTTGCCACTTTGTATCATTTCAGTATCCTAGGATCAAATTTTAATCTCTTTAGTGTCCAATTAGGTCTTCGCAACACTTGCGAAGTGGAGAACATTGATTTAAACGCTTCTTATGTGTGCCAGATCATGATTTTTTTTCTTTCCTTGAAGCAATTTACATATTTGAAGCCACTCATGTATTGTTGAAGAGTTTATAGTTCTTGTCCACCAAGAAATGGACTTGAAGCCAACTACGTGTCCAAACGTTAGACGCTGATGCTATTTACACTCGTATGTTTAACAAGAATCCCCAAACAATTAGCAACGACATTAAACGCGTTTGAATCTATATTCATGCAGTGGAGTACTTCTTTCTGATGCTTCTCCACTCTTTAAAATTATTTCTTCCCTCAATTTCCAGTAGAATAAGATACGAAGTCTGTTCGACAATCAATTAAAATGGGAGTATAAGCATAGTGGGGGCCGTTTAACCTCTTACATTTACTTTGCCCCATACTGCTACTAGTATCCCATGGCCCGTTACGACCTTTCTTGAACTGGATTTTTCTTTAGGTCGTACAACAGTGTCCTTGAGTTACAGAGTATCCTATGACCCGTCTATCAACTGACAAAATTTTTAGTGTTCGATTTGAATCAGTTTGAGAAATCATCGGACTATATTTTTTTTTTTGGTGTGAAAAAAATGAGCGGTATTCAGTCAAATTTCAACCGCCTGCCCGAGAATGTACCTGGTCAAAATATTTCTTGCTGTTGGGGCTGTCTCTCACCTGTGTTGCCATGTGCATGTTAATTCGCAGGGTGCGCGAGTGTAAAGCGTATTGTAGCTGACTTTATTCCTCGGTATGCACCTCATTGTCCAACTGCTCTTGAAGCTGCAACAAAAGTTATCATCAATATGCACAATCAGAGCTTGGAAATAATAACTAATGGGGAGGATGTTGATAATGTTGCATTTGAGACAGCTAGGGCTTGTATTATTGGTTTGGTTGATATTTGTGCTGCTGTAATATCTAAGGCACCTACGTCATCTGTCATCAGAGGCATTTGCTCTGAAGTCTTTCAGAATGTTTTCACCTTCTTTGTGTCATCTTTTGAGGGTAAAGATATCTTTCAGATTGTGGATGAAGAAGCTCTTAAAATTCAAGACTCTGCAGATTTTTTCACTGAGTTGAAGCAGAAATATACTGATGAAAATAGTTTGCCTGTGATTAAGCTATCCAAGTTACGTGCTATCAGTTTCCTCTGGCTGTTTTTTCATTACCCTAAAAACTTAACTGCAGCTTGTTTTGAGCTTTTCAATATGTCTGCCGAGGGAATTCATAAGGATGGCCTGTATTTCCTGACTCAGATTATACTTGGGCTCGATGATGGTATCACCCATCATTTGGATAAAGGAAATGACAACAGAGCAAGCCTCAAATGTTGCAAAGATGATGTTAAGGAGAAAGTTTCAGTCAGTAGCCTCATCTCTGTTGATGCGTCATCTGTTTCAAGGAACTGCATGTTGAGCTTGGTAATGTCTACGATTTTTTTTTTTTTTTTTTTTTTATAACAAAAAAAGTGTTATTATTACTGTTTCCTCATACATTCAGACAAATATTTTAGACTACTCCTATAAATCATTGATTTGCCGAGTTGGTCACTTAAAAAGATGCTATAGCTGGAGAAATTATTTGAGGAGATTGGAATCATGTGGTCAACAGTTTTATACCATTGAAGGTAAGAGAGAAAAAAACAAAACATATTGTTTTAACCATGCATCCAAGGTTTTAGTAGGGAGTAGAACTATGTAGCGGTTACAAAGAATAATTTTTTCTATAGTTTATTAGATCAATGCTAGACAATGTCTTTGGCGTTAAACATTTATCTTTCAAGTTTTGCTCCCCTGATTTCTAAACAGTTGGCTGATTAACAAAGGGGTGCAATGTTTGGGGGGGGGGGGGGGGGGGGG